ACAACAGCGTAGCATGACGTATGTGTGGAAGCGCAAGAGAACCTACAGCAGGGTAGCATGACGTATGTGTGGAAGCGCAAGAGAACCTACAGCAGCGTAGCATGACGTATGTGTGGAAGCGAAGAGAACCTACAGCAGCGTAGCATGACATATGTGTGGAGGCGCAAGAGAATCTACAGCAGCGTAGCATGACGTATGTGTGGAAGGGCAAGAGAACATGCATGACGTATGTGTGGAAGTGCAAGAGATCCTACAGCAGCGCCGCATGACGTATGTGCGGAAGCGCAAGAGAACCTACAGCAGCGTAGCATGACGTATGTGTGGATATTATGAAGTGCAAGAGAGCGTACGGCAAGGTTGCATGACGTATGCGTGGATGTGCAAGAGAACGTACAGCAGCGTAGCATGACGTATGTGTGGAAGCGCAAGAGAACCTACAACAGCCTAGCATGACGTATGCGTGGAAGCGCAAGAGAACCTACAGCAGCATAGCATGACGTATGCGTGGACGTGCAAGAGAATCTACAGCAGCGTAGCATGACGCATGTGTGGAAGCGCAAGAGAGCCTACAGCAGCGTCGCTTGACGATACGAATCCGCTGTTTCTTTTTCGGCATGTCTTTAGGACATTCGCTGCTTTCACGTGTTTTTCAATTCGAAGCCACTGCGTAACTCCGGTTTATTTTTGCTATTTGCCATTGTGTAGAGAATACAGGAAGATACTCTTAATACCAATTGGGTACGACAAGGCGTAGTGCTACTCATTGCTTTTGAATTTGTGCCTGTGTTTTTGTTTCGACCTAATACCTACAGAGGTACATGCATGAGTATTGAGCACATTTATATGCGCCCCTCAAGGCTCAAGAGGTATATAGAGTAACCCTGTGGACAAGCACTGACCGGCAACAGGCTGAGAGTAAAAGAGTGCTGTCATTGGGGAAGACGCCTTAGCTGATCTTGAAGTAGACGCTAGGGCCCCTCTTCACCCACTCCCCCCCGCCCTGCCACCCAATGTTATGTTGATAGTACGACGCAAAAAAATGACAACAGTCGCGAGCCGCACCAGAAACATGTACGTATACGTAAACAAAGACATATACATATACAAATACATAGACGTATACAAATACATCTACATACACATTTACATATACAACTTCAAGTGTGTATGTATAAATATAAATATATATGTGTGTGTGTGTATTTGCATATGCATATGTACAGTGTATTTACATGTATGTATATTTTCATGTATGTATATACATATACGCACATATATATATATACATATGGATATACATCTATATATATATATATATGCATATATAAAGGAGTGATCAAGGAGCTGAGAACATTCACGCAACAGAGCTGAATTCAAACTTGTCATTACTATCCTATGTATATTTTCTACCTATGACTTATTTCTCCATATCGTCTTTTGCCGTTAGACCGTTAGTTGGAGTAAACACGTGGTCTCTTGTAGGCTGAATGCGACCGGTTGTCAAAATTATTGCGATTCTGCCGGAGTCCAAATCTTGGCCGAGATGAAAAGCCGCTCAGGTGCCATACTTGCCGGAGCGAGAGACCCTGGGCAGGGCAAGTCTGGAGAAATGTGGATCAGTGCGGATTTTTGTGGATCAGTGTGGATCAGTGTGGATCAGTGTGGATCAGTGTGGATCAGTGTGGCAGGGGTGCTCTAGGACAGATTTGCTGACGCAGCGCAAGAAAAGAACATTGAAACACTCATGAAACACCACTGAGGAAGTTCAAACATGACTTTCAATTTGTTCAATGTCGACGCCCAAAAAAAAGGTCCGTTTGACGCTAATCCGGCCAAAACATCATCTATGATCCCTGTTCAAAAAAAAGCACCGAAACAGTTGCATTCCAAAGCGACCGACCTGCTTACCGTCACAACAGGATCCGTCAATGCATTTTGTCAAGGTGAGCTGTCAATGAGACGTGTCAACATTGTGACATGCGCAATTCACCCATCAATACTGTGACCCATCAATATTGCAAACCGTCAACATAAATGCGAACTGTCACTGTGGCCAATGCGACCTGTCAATGCAAACTGCCCATGACACGAATGAGACCAATCTCAGCTGTCAATGCAACAGTGGGCAGCATCAATGTGAAATATCAATGTCACCAGTGCGCACTGAAAAATGTCCACTGTCCATGAAGTACTGTCAATATGCCCTTCTGTGAAGTGTCAACATGAACGGTCAATCTGACCAACGTTAAGTGTCAATGTGAACAATGTTAATTGTCAATGCGAACCAATTTTCTGCTGAATTCTTAAAATTTCTCAATGTGAACAATGTGAATTTCTCAAATTTCCCCGTTTCGTGTTGGGCCTCATCTTGTACTTTGCAATGACTCGTCGCTCGTACTCACTGCGCTGATCCACCTGGAGGGGAGCCGGAGCTGGAGCCACTGCCACTAGGGCCACTAGGGCCACATCTTACAAAGCAGAACGGAGAAACAAACTGCAAAGGAAATAAAGGAACAAACAAAGGAAACACGCAAAGCTTCAGGAAACTTCAGGAAACTTCTGCTGATTGTGTTTCTTTAAGCACTCGAGGACTTCGTTTCAAAATCCTCTGGTCGCACTTGGGTTCATCCCTGCAACGCCTTGTCTGGGTCGTACTCTTCTTCATTCCAATCAGCCTTGGCGAACGATGAACTTGGGTCGCATCGATATGCTCAGGTGTTTTGATTCTTGATTTGATTCTCATAGACTGTATGGGACTGTGGCGAACTCGGGCGGCTTCACCATTTTCGAGTTTCATGTCTCAGGCTGGCGATTTCAAACATGTCAATGGATAAGTTGGAATGATTTTCAATACATGTTCAATACATGCCATAACGTCAGAATCGTCAGATGTTTTACATTGCTTTTCCACGCCTAGACTGGCCTAGACCTGCAGCTTGGCACATGCACCTGATGGCATCTGGGGTTCCGAACCATATCCTGCTTCCACACTGGCAAGGGATACCTGCTAATTTGTACAACGAGTGTTGTAACATAACATATGGGTGTAAATTACAACTCTTTGTAACACAAGTCACTGTCTTCATCACACTCGTGTCACCCGAGTTCTGCTCATTGATCAAAAACAGTGGCTCCGTTAGACAACTCAATTTGGTCACTCAATAGTTATTAACAGTTATATATTTGCGTACCTCTGCATGTATTGTCTGATATACTGCGCTGTTCCTGATGCGGTTTCTATAGTTCCCCGGTCTGTAGACGCTGTATGATTTAGAGGTCCCAAAAATGCAAACTCACTTCGCAACAAAGCTATACTGAAAAGGGTCAAGACTGGAGAAAACTGAGAATTTCTTGAAAAACAGAAGAAATATAAAAACCAGCTCTCTAGGCCAGGGACTGGGTCGATTGGGGCTGTACATCATATCATGATACAATGATACACGTTAAACTTGAAGACTTATTCTATATTACATATATATTCTATAGATAAATATATATATATATATTCTACATATCTGCATATTCTAAATATATTCTACAAATATTCTACATTTATGTATATTTTCTACATATTCGTGTATATATTCTACATATATATATATGTGTGTGTGTGTAAATTGCATATACGGTTCTACATATATATGTATGTATTTTACATATATATATATGCATGTATGTATATAAAAATATACTAATATATATTCTATATGTATATATATATATTCTATATATATTCTATATATATATATTCTATATATTATATATATATGTTCTATATATATATATCCTCTTTAATATATATACACTCTATAATATATATACACTCTATAATATATATATGCATTCAAATATATATATATTTATATATATATATTTATATTTATATATATATATTTATATATATATATATGCGTGTGTGTGTGTAGTCTCTATATATATATATATTTTGAAACTTTCACCGCCTGGCCGTCGGTGTGACAGCTGGTTCAGATGAGCCAAAGGCAAGCCCGCCTGTGAAGGCTCAGGTTGTTCGTCCCCTAGCGTTCCCACTCAGGAAGGGGCCCCTTGTTTGCACGGCTACTCCTAAGCCATGGATGCGTAGGATCTGAAGCGATCCTTGGAAAAATCTCAGTGCTGCTGGGCACTTTGCGCGATTGGGTTGGAACTGGGATTGTGGCATAGCTTTTCTTTTGAGAAAGCATTGAACATTGAGCCCCACGCTCATTGCCATTCTCCAACTGCATTGGCAGCGGAGCGACGGTGCTCCAGGGACTACCTTTTGCTGCCTGGTGAGATTCCTCTTAGAGCTGCCTTTCCGGGTTGAACCTTTTACTTTTTCATTGTCGAGGCCTACAGCATCACAAAAACCTTGCTGAGGTCTTTGGCAATTGCTTTTGCATTTTCTCCTGTGAACTAAGGAGTTCACACCTTTCCTCATTCCTGAAGTATGACGGAACGTGACTCAGCTGGCAGAATTCCAACATGGGATGGTCAGGCAAAAGGGTGGCATAGATATACAAAAGAAGTGGCCTGGGGTATGTGTCCTCAACTCCCGTGAATAAAAGACGATATGTAGCCTCCAAGCTGATTAGCCAACTGCAAGGAACTGCACGTCTTTTAGCCATGTTATGGAAAAGGTCTGAGTTTGATAGCAACGGTGGAACCCTGGTTCTTCTTCGCAAGCTGGCTTCCTCCACTTGTGCGGCAGACTCTCCCCAACACTGCAGCGATTTTGCAGCAGTACCTGAGCTTCAAGCGACGTCCAGGTGAAAGCATGGCTAACTTTCTGGTCCGCGAGACTCTGGGCTATGAGGAGTTTGCTGAAGCTCTCCAGCGTTTGTGGGAGGAGCGCAACGGCGTCGATCCCTCCGGGCTGAACTTTGGCCTTCCTCCTGAAGAAGAAGATCCATGGGAGACTTGGTGGTATGATGATGGATATGAAGATACAGCTGCATCAACTGCCGCTGCTGACGATGCTGCTGATCCTCCAGTTCACATAGGACAACGTCCTGCTGAAGGCGAACGTTCTGAAGAACAACAACCTTCTGGAGTTCAAGAAGAAGTTCGGGCTAGCATGGGTTCTTCATCAAGTCGTGGACCTCCTTCAGCGCATTCAGCTGCGGTGCAAGCACCTTCAACCATGGGTGTGAGTGAGCTCTCTCCAACAGATTCATTCATTTCGTGGCTGGCGTTTGCTTCAAGCTGCCTGCTTCAACGCTGAGGAGACCCGCGACATCCTCTCCACGACTCAGAACCGGCTTTAGTTTGAAGCCATCAGCAAGGCCTTACAGACCTTGTGGGACGAACAGCTGCTTGCCCACGTATCATCCATCTTCGGCATCCTCCAACTATGGTCATGTGTACATGCAACAGTCTTGGGAAGATGATGCATGGCCCTCTGATTCTTGGGACACTTCGTCTCATGATGCTGACTGGTGGGGTGATGCGCAATGGCATGAAGAATGGCATGATGATTGGCCTTGGGAAGAAGAACATGCGAGCTCTGAGCCTCCAACCTTAGCGCCTGTGGAGGAAGAAGATGAACAATTGAAAGAAGCACATCAAGCTGAGCAAGCTGCGGAGCAATTGGCTATGGAAGCCAAGCGCACATGGGTGGAAGCTCAGCACACCACTCAGCAGGTGCGCAAAGACCGTGGTTTTGGACAACATGGTCCTTCTTCTACCAGATGCTTCAACTGCGGTGGCAACCACTTTGCCCGCGATTGCACAGACAAGCGTGTGCCTCCGTACTCTGGCAAGGGCGGCAAAAACAACCACATGGTGTCCTATGACGACACTGGAAGCAGCAACTTGCTCCTCTTCGGCACCTCAAGCTCCTGTCATCAACCAACGATGATGTGATTGACGAGGACGAAAATTGGGAGCGAAGACTACATCCAGTACTACCTCAACATGATTGTCAAGCTCAACAAGAAGCGATGGCAAGCGAATCTGCTGACGCAGATGCTGCAGCCTCTTCTGAGGATGGGCAGTTGGTTCCAGCATCCAGCTCTGCGAGCTCCTTGGCAAACATTCCTCAACAAGAACAAGATGCCTGGAGTGCACAACTTCACCACTATCATCGCACAGCTGGCCATCCAACCAACAAGAACCTCATCCACCTCTTTCGAGATGCAGGCTTGCCAGAATGGAAACTTGAGATGGCTCGTCAGTTTCGATGCTCCGGCAATGTGCCTCCTGCTGCGACTCACGGGGACCTACAAGGCGTGGCAGGCCATAGGCTTTGATGCCAGCGAATGGCTGGTACCTGGTCAACGTGTCAAGATCAAGTTCATCCTGTACATGGACTTAGCAACAAAGTTGAAAGTCATACATTTAGCCAAAGAATATAGCTTTGTTGAAATGAAGAATGAAAGCTGAAAGCACACAGGATGTCATTACTGGTTTTGCTGAAAAACGGCTTTGCGACAAACCAAAGCCTGAGATCTTGATCCCTGACAACGCCAAGACCTTTCAAAGCCGTGAAATGCATGAGTTTTGCAACTCTACCGGATTTTTTCTCAGTTTTCCTGCAGAAAGTGAATCGAGTCAGCAGCCAAGGACGTGAAGATGACAGCGTCCGCAATCCAAACTGATCAGCCTACTTTGGAACCCAAGGTGACTTTGATGCTAGCATGCGCTGCTTTGAACGCTACTGAGTATTCCAAAGGATATTCCTCTTTTCAGTGGGCTTATGGAAAAGACTATGTGCTGACCGATGAAGACCTTCGGACTTTCAAGGACATTTCGAAGTCTGACGACTCCATGTCCTATGAGGCCTTGGTCCGAGCCAGACATGAAGCCGAAGCTGTGGCAAGGAAGACAAGATCCTTGCGTGTCCTTTCCAGGCTGAAGAACTCAAAGGTGACACAACCCTTGCGCACTTTTCATCCAACTCAACTTGTCAAAGTTTGGCGCAAGCAACTGCCTTCACATTTACATCAAGGCAAACGTGGTGGCGGCAAGTTGTCCATCAAACCTCACTGGATTGGTCCTGGTAGAGTCATTTTTCATGAAGTTTTACCTCACCAAGATCATGACGATCATCGACGGCGCTTGGTTTGGATTCTCATTGGCAACCAACTGATGCGATGCAGCGTCCATTCTGTGAGACCTATCACAGCTACAGAACAGATTGCCTATGAGATCAGCAACAAAGATGACCCAACACAATGGAGATCTATCGCACACATTTTGCCTGCGCGAGACTATGAAGATCTCACAGACCAAGTACCTGGTGAAGAAGAATCTGAAGAACCTGATCTACCCCAACAGCCTGATTCTTCAACAACTCTTTGCATTCCCAAGCGTCACTGGGAAGAATCAACTTCTACCTGAAAATGCAGAAACTGCTGAAGAACGTCTACAGCGTCTTGCAGCAGGATCTGAACCAGCTCCGCGACCAGTCAATGACTATGATGGTGAATATGAACCTGAGTCACCACTACCTGATGATGAACATGACAGGGTCGCATTTGATGATGGTGAACATGAACATGATCCACCACTACTTGATGACACACCTCCATTTGAGCAACCTGAAAAGAAGCAAAAGACTGAAGAGATTTCTATGCCTTCCTATGTCGCCACAGTCTCTGAAGATGGTGTTCATCGAAAGCCCACGGAACGCCACATGAAGTGGCTACATCCGTTGCAGAAGAAGATCAGCAATGGAATCTTTTTCCATATTTCCTTCACTCCGAGAAGGACATGCTGGCCATTGAGATTGATGTTGACTTCAATCACCGCAGATCCGAGACAGACTTCATCAACGACCCCACAGCGTTCCTGGTCAGCTTCGTGACTCTGGAGTTGTCTTCAGAAAGCTCAGCAACGAGCACAAGGACCTGTTCACCCGAGCCAAGTCCAAAGAGGTGAACTCATTTCTGCAGAACCAAGCTGTCAGAAAGTGCTTGGATGACCGTGAAATCCAAGAAGCTCTTGGCTCTGGACGTATCCTTCGTGCGCGTTGGTTTTGACTTGGAAACTGATACCACGTACGCTCCAACAAGGAGACTGTCCACACCAGCGATGGCCTCACGAAGGCCAAAGCAAGAATTGTCTTGTTAGGCTTTGAGCATCCTGAGTTAGGCTCCTCAGACTACAAGACCAGTTCTCCAGTCCAATCAGTGTTAGCCAGAAACCTGCTATATCAACACGTATGTCAACATGATTGGTCTCTTGAAGCCAAACTGCGCCAACCAGTGCAGATGCTCGACTTTGGACATCAGGTGTGGCGGAACTACGGGAAGCTCTTCAAGTTGGACCTGAAGGCATCATGCGCATCCAGCGTAACATCTATGGCTCCACCACTGCACCACGTGGATTATGGTGAACGATGTCTCTGGATTTGGACCAGCGAACATGAGAAAGATGAAGATGACAATCCCATTGTCATTGGCATGACAGGCGACCATGTCGACGACTTTCATCGATGTGGTAATCCCAGATCTGAAGAATGGAACTGTGTTTCCAAGCGCATTGATGAAGTATACAAATGGGGCATGGCGAAAACCAATGAATACCGACATGCTGGCACTGACTTGAAGATCACTCGCGATCGCGATGGCGACCAGGTGATCACAGTCAATCAGCAATACTACATTGACATGCTCACGGATGTGAACATCCCTGCGGATCGTCTTCGTGATGAGAATGCAACTCTTTCCAGCCACGAACTTGCAGCATGCCGTGGCGCTCTGGGATCCTTGCAATGGTTAGCGATACAAACACAACCCCTTCTTTGTGCAAGATGTAACCTCCTGCTCTCTGAACTTGTGAAGTATGCCAAGATTTCGTCAGCGCTTGAGATTCAGCGGATGATTGGCGAAGTACGACAGCAGCCTACCGAGCTCAAGTTCTTTAAGCTGAAGACTGCGAAGTCCTGGAAGGATATCACCGTGGTCACTCTTTCAGACCAAGCTCACAGCAACCGTCCTGGTGGCGATTCCACTAGTGGCCTTGTGACTTTGATGGCTGGCCCTGAGGCCAAACATGGACATGTCTGTCCGATGGTTCTTCTGTCTTGGAAGAGCTGGAAGCTGAAGCGCAAGGCAATCAGCTCAAATGATGCGGAAGACCATAACTTCCGTGTGCGCCTCCTTTGGAATGAAATGCATGGAGCTGGTTGGCACCGAACACCCCAGGTTGATCAAGTGGCCTGGGCGGAAAACCAAGTCCGTAACACTGTTGGCATTCTTGGAACAGACTCCAAGGGTGGCTTTGATGCAGTCCAGGTCAACGAGAGTCCTGTGCTCGGTTTGAGCCATCTTAGATCTGCACTTCAAGCTTTGCAACTTCGTGAAAGCATGATTCGCACCAACTGTTTTCTGAGATGGCTTGCGAGCGATTATGATCTAGGAGATGCTTTGACCAGATTGCCGCATTGGTCTTTTGAAGTATTTGAGAACGAAGCTGTGGTACGAAGAAGAACGCAAAGAAAGGCCATACAGCAGTGAGTGCCATAGACCGAGTCAAAGACTCACAACCTGACTTTTCCTTGTGGGGTGATGCAACTTTCACCGCCTGGTCGTCGGTGCGACAGCTGGTTCAGGTGAGCCAAAGGCAAGCCCGCCTGTGAAGGCCCAGGTTGTTCGTCCCCTAGCGTTCCCACTCAGGAAGGGGCCCCTTGTTTGCACGGCTGCTCCTAACCCATGGACGCGTAGGATCTGAAGCGATCCTTGAAAAAATCTCAATGCTGCTGGGCACTTTGCGCGATTGGGTTGGAACTGGGATTGTGGCATAGCTTTTCTTTTAAAGAGCAACTGCATTGAACATTGAGCCCCACGCTCATTGCCATTCTCCAGCTGCATTTATATACACCTATTATATGTATATTCTATATATATACTCTATCTATATTTATATTCTATATATATTAATATATTCTATATATATATACTCTATCTATATTTATACTCTATATATATTTATATATTCTATATATATTAAATTCTATAAATATATATATGCATATTCTATGAATATTTATATATGTTTTTGAGGCCAGGGGGTAGGTATGCAAGCTAGCAGGCAATTGGTACTGTTGTACCAGAGAACCCAAACCACAGCGCAGGGGGGATTGAACCCGGGACTGCCACGGGGGGGAGGTATAAAATCGAAAGTTTCTAGGAATTCAATGGTCCTGGTGCTCGCCTAGTCCTTGCTAAAGCAATAGCAGCTTCAGCTAGCACAAGCTGGCTTCGTGATTAAATTACAATGTATCATATGCACATGTTTTAATTCCCGAGAGCGTCTGAGCGCAGGGTTCTTCCAATAGTGGGGTCTGCAAAAAAAACATCTTCTCACCTTCACATCTTCTCATCTTCACATCTTCTCATCCTCACATCTTCTCATCTTCACATCTTCTCATCTTCACATCTTCTCATCCTCACATCTTCTCATCTTCACATCTTCTCATCTTCACATCTTCTCATCCTCACAACCTCACATCTTCACATCTTCACATCCTCACATCTTCTCATCTTCTCATCTTCACATCCACTCATCTTCACATCTTCTCATCTTCACATCTGCTCATCTTCACATCCTTACATCTTTACATCCTCACATCTTCACATCTTCTCGTCTTCACATCTTCTCATCTTCACATCTGCTCATCTTCAAATCTTCTCATCTTCACATCTGCTCATCTTCACATCCTCACATCTTCACACCCTCACATCTTCACATCTTCTCGTCTTCACATCTTCACATTCTCTCTTGCCCTCTTGCTCTCTTGCCCTCTTGCTCTCTTGCCCTCTTGCTCTCTCCTTCTTTCCTATTTCTCTCTTGAAGGCACGGGGCCGTGCCAACAAGACGGCACGAAATGCAACCCTTTCGCACGAAATGATGTTCGATCGCCAAAAACTGAAGTAAAATTGCGATTTCGTGTTTCCGGGCGCACACGAAATGAAGTTCGATAGCCGAAAACTGAGGTAAAATTGCGATTTGCATGTCCAGCGCAACCCTTTGGCACGAAACGAAGTTCGATCGCCAAAAACCGAAGTAAAATTGCAATTTCTGGCGTCCAGCGCAACCCTTTCGTACAAAATGAGGTTTGATCGCCAAAAACTGAAATAAAATTACGATTTGTAGGTGTCCGGCACAACCCTTTCGCACGAAATGAGTTCAAAAACTGTGGTAAAATTGCGATTTGTAGGTGTCCGGCGCAACCCTTTCGCAGGAAATGAAGTTTGATCGCAAAAAACTGCGGTAAAATTGCGATTTCAGCGGTCCGGTCTCTGTGCGTGAAAGTGTTTGTGTGTAAAGTATCTGTGTGTAAAAGCATCTGTCTTTAAAAGCTTCTGTGTGTAAAAGTCTCTGTGTGTAAAAGTGTCTGTGTGTAAAAGCGTTTGTGTAAAAGCTTCTGTGTGTAAACGCTTCTTTGTGTAAAAGCGTCTGTGTGTAAAAGCGTCTGTGTGTAAAAGCCTCTGAGTGTAAAAGCATCTGTGTGTAAAAATCTCTGCGTGTGAAAGTGTTTCTGTAAAAGCGTCTGTGTGTAAAAGCGTCTGTGTGTAAAATTGTCTGCGTGTAAAAGTCTCTGTGTGTAAAAGTCTCTGGGTGTGAAGGTGTTTGTGTAAAAGCGTCTGTCTGTAAAAGCCTCTGTGTGTAAAAGCGTATGTATGTAAAAGTGTTTGCGTGTAAAAGTGTCTGCATGTAAAAGCCTCTGTGTGTAAAGGCGTCTGTGTGTAAAAGCGTCTGTGTGTAAGAGTGTCTGTGCGTAAAAGCTTCCATGTGTAAAAGTGTCTATGTGTAAAACCTTCTGTGTGTAAAAGCTTCTGTGTGTAAAAGTGTCTGTGTGTAAAAGCTTCTGTGTGTAAAAGTCTCTGTGTGCAAAAGCGTCTGTGTGTAAAAGCTTCTCTGTGCAAAAGCGTCTGTGTGTAAAAGCTTCTGTGTGAAAAACTATACGAATGATACGATGCAAACTAGTGTCTTGTACTTGTAAGATTTTGTCTTGATACTACTCTTCTCGTCTGCCTATAATACATCTTTAATATATTGTCTTGTAATTTAGTGTCTCAATACTAACAACAGAAGACCCTGCTCCTCTACGCTCTCGGGCCATCCGTCGTCTAGTTTATATATATATATGTATATATATATATATACACGTATCAATGGGCTGAAATGCACAGACTGCATGGGAATGCAAGTCGGCCACAAGAAAATAAAAACTGATAATTAGATCAAAAGTCACTGAAACAAGTGAACCTTCCTCCTGCTCTATCTTCCTGTTTCGTGAAAACATGGTGAAGACCCAAGTAGAGCTTTCCATAGCTTTCCGCTACAGAGGAACAACCAAAGTCGCGCACGTGTCCCATTCGTTCTGGGGATATTCGGGCGAAGGAATCTCGTCTTCTCGCCCATCGATCCTCAAGTTGGCATACCTCGCAGAAACGCAAACATTGTTTGACATATGACATTGTTTCTTACAAGAACCTGAAGCAAAAAACTGCACGCAATGTATTCATAGTGTCACACATTGCTGAACTCAAGAACTCAAAGTCAGGAAATATCTCTCACCTCAGCATTTCCAACCTGCTCTTTCAGCAGAGCTAAGCCTTACCTGCTAAGGTCTGCACGTCTTGTCCATTTCTGTGCGTTCCTTCCAACAGTCTGGGACATGTGCGTACATGGTCGATATGTCTCCATATGTCTTGATGTCTCCACGTATCTTGGTGCGAAGAGATGCAAAGATTGGATGTGTGAATCGCCAGTTTTTGCGCTTGAGAAGGCACCACCATGATGGCTGGGACACCAAAAAGGAAAAAAAAGTGAAGAGAAGAACGAACACGATTCGGCAGCCAAGAGAAACAAGGTTCTGGAAGGACGAAAAGCAGCCAGTGACAGCGGCTGTCGAAAAACTTGCGAAAAGTTCGAAAGATGCTTTAGAGAATTTGGAAATTGGACAGGCGCCTCAGACCCGACGGCCCCGACGGCTCAAACACCCGAGTGGTCCGATGACGGGATGACGGCGACTGACGACGACAGGTCCTGGTCGATGGGGATGACGTTTCTCTTGCCCACCATGGCACGCATGAAGTACCTCGCGGAGCAAAGAGGTACCGGATCCGAGGCAGATCCGAACAGGTCTGACACCCGGAACAAAGCAGAACAAAGCGCAATCTGTGGCGCAATCAATTGCTCAAATGGTAACAAAATTTGGCATCCTCCATGTCCATTTGAGCGGCGCACGCATTCTTGTTGCGGCCGATGAAGCCTCGTTTCAGGACTTGGATCCTTGTGATCAAAGGGCTGTGTATAGGAAAGAGGAACTCGTAGCCGACCTGGGCAAGAAATCGAAAGAATTGGCAAAACAAATACATCAACATGTCTCGTCTCCCCCCGCCACCAAGACACCTATTTTGAGGCACCATATATACTGTGTATATAAATATACGTATATATATATAAATACATATGTGTATATATATATATATATACATATAGAATATAATATATATATATACATATATATATATATTTCTATATATTGTGATTTTCCTATTTGCGACCATGGATGCATCAACCAGTAACCCAACGGGTCCAATAGGAAATCCAACATGCATTCCCGGTCAGGTGAAGCATAGTCCTCTTGCAAGACACTGTGGCTCAGGTGCCCCGTGGTGGGAGGGCAGCGGTAGTGTCTAGGTGCCATAGGGCTACTTGCGACCGGGTTCGCACACTGGAACGTGGCCATTCCTCGTTGGCTTGGAAGCCTTGACATTGCTGCTTGCCCGAGAGAACGCGGCTGCGCTTGGTGGAGATCAGGTTTGGGAAAGTGGTGCTACCCCACTTACATTGGTGGCGGAGCTCCCATTAGAGGAGTATCCAGGGAGGGTTGTAGATGCCCACCTTCCGGATTTGGAGGAAGGAGATTGGGCAGTGGAACCAGAGATGTATGCCTCCGAGACTATGACATCACCTGGGAACACCGAGATGATCACAGCAATGCAACATGGAGAATGCCTTGACCCGAGTGATTCGTCACTTGGAGACCACGAGCGGAGTCCACCAGACCATGCCTGAGGCACTGCCATCAGACAGTCCATCGGAGTGAAAGAGGACTGGGAAAACACCGTGAATACTGTTATGCAAGATGAACTCATCCGCTTGCACAAGCTCATCACACAATTCGAAAATGAGCTGCATGATGCCTCCAAAAGGAATAGGCCAATGGGGAAACCAATCAGTTTGCTGGAAGTGTTCTGCGGTTCCAGATCACCCCTGACCCATCAAATGCACTGTCTAAGACATCAAGCCCTGCGGTTTGGATACAGTGAGGGGGATTTATCCATCGGGTCGGGAACGACTCTTTGCAACTGTGATCCGACATCAACCGCACAATGTGTGGGTCAGTCCAGACTGCGGCCCTTGGTCCTCATGGTCTCGTCTAAATGAATCTAGATCTTTATGCTGAGAAACGACATCAACTTTTGTACCAAATTGCCCTATG